CCCAACCACCCCCACCCCAACTACCCCCCTAAAAAAAAGAAGAGAAAAAGAAATGAGCCAGAAAGTTTGATCATGTCCACTACAGAGGACTCTTGGGCCTGCAGAAGCAGTGCTCAGAGTTGCAAACAACCTGTACATTGTCCAGCCCTGCCCCAGATAGGTTGGCCACTTAAAATCATTGACCATAGTCCCTGCAGTCTCTGAGGTGAAAAATACTTTCTTTTAAAGTGTATTTCCCCAGTACAGGAAAGTTGCCCAACCCTGCTCTAGTGCAGATATAATTCATTCCTTGGTCCTACTTTTGAATGCCTTTAGCAAACTCTTCCAGACTCTAGGAAGATCAGTCTGTCCCAATATTGGCAGATGATTGTATAAAGGGGTGGGGGTGGGGGTGTCAGAAAGATACTGAGAGAGAGAAAAAAAATAACAGGGATATCAGAAAGGGAGGGGGCAAATGGTGTCAGAGCTTCTGTGTAGAATAGCTAGTCCACAATGACACATTTTCACCTGCAGGGTAAGCCATAGCAAAAGGTTGGGTCTAGATTATTGCTACCTCTTCATTCAGGTTGGCTTTGCATAAAGAGGATTTCTATTAGAACATGATTCATACTCTCTGCAGCAGATGTTCCTCAGCCCTTTAATTCACGTGGATAGGATTCTCTGAAAGTTGAAAAATGTAACACATACACACACGCGTGAGGTTGGGGGTGGGAACCAAGTTATGTATATATTTAGATTTTAAAACAAAAACTTAAAACTCACCCAAACATTTATCCAATTTACAGATTGTTTCAAAGAGGAATACAACAATATTTGCAGAAGATTCTTCTGGTTAAAGGAAAAGACGTACTAAGTGCAGCAGACTCTCTGCAGGAGGCTCAAAGGATGAAAACTTGCAACTGTTTGTCATTTCTAATTTGGACTTGTATGATTCATGAGATCCCTACTTTACTATCACCGAAAAGGACTAGCATGTATTTGCAAGCTGAAAGGATAATGGGGCTATCTAAGGATCAGGGAAAAGCCATGCATCGGACAAAGCGTGGATGGATGTGGAATCAATTTTTTTTATTGGAGGAATATACTGGTCCAGATACTCAGTATGTGGGCAAGGTAAGCACTGTTATTAAAAGACCATTCAATAAGATGACAGAATTCATAAATGGGGGGGGGGATTGGGGGTGAGTTTCACAGCAGCATGGAAGGTACGCTTCAGCTGGGAGGAAATAAGATTTCACACCTAATAGTTTTGTGGATTATTCCTGTTTTAGAGGAGAATGGTCCTCTAATGCTAGGTTTTAGAAAGACCTGTAGAACAGTATTATTCTTTTTTTTTAATGTTCCTCTTCATTGTTAGATTCATCAGCAAAATCAGCTGAGAAAAGTACCTCTAGAAATCAGGATTTATCCACATGAGGAATTTCACAGCATTAGTTCAGCTTTCTGCAGTCCAGAATGTGCAGTTCCTACGGAGCCAGAAAGTACAATGGGGAAAAAGTCTGTTAATCTAATCTGCACTGAAATCATGAGCAATTCACTCAAGAAAATAAAAGTTCTGATGTCACAGTTTTTCCTGTGAATATAAGATAGCTTAATTACAGAATGGTAATAATGATTGTGACATTTCATGGATGAAGACCTGCTACCTAATGACTGAAACATGTTTTTATTCATTCTTTTGCATGTGGTAGGGAGTGGGGAGGGGAAAGAGACAGGGGAAAGATACATGCAATGTTTCTCTTAAGTAATAATGGTTATTTTAAAAATTAGAATCAGTTCTACCAATAGAGTAAATATCTATATAAAACTAAAATACCATCTGCAATCAATAATACATTTTGAGTCAGAATAGAATTCCCAGTATTAGACATATTTCATTGGGTATCTGAAATATAAAAAATCATAGTTAGCTTTCTTTGCTGTACTATAGGCTTGGAAAGAAGAGCACTTCATTATCTCCTGTCACTCTAAGGGATATTTGTGACTCCATCTCATTGCGGTTGCATTAGATCTATGGTAGCTAGGCTCTTCAGCCACTTGAAAGAGATGTAATTGGGGGGAAAAGACTTTCAGTTTAAAAGCAGGTTTTTTTTTTTTTTTTAATGCAATTGATAGAGAAATGGGACAGAAGGAACACAGTGAGAATGACATAGACCCGAAGGTAATGAACCTAGCCATGCCTAAATAATATATTACCTTGACATTAAATTTGAATTCACAAGCAGTTTCAATTATCTCCTTGCCAATGGCATTATATCCATGTATGGAGAATGCCACTTCAGAAATGACAATGTTTTACTGCTGTGTGAGGGCAGCATGTTCTCTCATTGGAGAGGATTCTTAGCTCGCCCCACTCCTGGGATTATGTCACAATAGCATGTTGTCATGAGTAGGTCACAGAGCCCAAATCCACAATAGCTGGAATGACATCATTAAGAGTTTTGAAAACAGTAGCGGCTTGCCATCATGGAAAGTACAGAACTATGGGGCAGTGCTATCAGCTTATTCTCTTTTATTGGTGTGAAGGGGAAGGGATATAGTTTAGGCATGGTATTAAGTTGTAGGGTTACTCCTTTATGCCTTGCTGATCATTCACTCAAGCAACCCTCAGTTTTCATTCATTCCCACATCTAAATTGCTTGTCTTCCCTTTTAGGTTCAAAATATTAACAAGAAACACTGGGAAGCTGAGCTCAGTTACGGTCCTATCTGACCTTAGTTCTTAGTCAACTGTGTTACTGGGCAACAGCCAAGAAAATTGTTTTCAAATGTAAACATACTTATTTCACTTTCCTGCACAAATTCATTGAAGCACAAATAATTTCCTTTATGGCAGAGTGGCAACTATAGTAATGAACCAAAGAGAGAGAAAAGGCAATTCAATCTTTATGTAGGAATATGTCAAATACATTTCACACAATGTTAATTGAAAGCAAGTAGGGAAAAGTAAATATGAGTTCTTACATTTTTATACTTAAGCACTAAAGTTCAGTTTAATGTTACCGAGGGTCTCAATACAGTGGCCAGCTCTATTGAAGACTCAGTGAAAGATAGGAAGTAGAGCATGAGGCAGGGAGGCAGGAAGCTGGAGAAGATCAAACATGTTTTAGCAAACAGCATTTGGTGAAAGTCCTCTAGCTGTTGCCCCCAAACCAAATTCTTCTATACTTTTCTTGGAGTCTAGTCAGCCAACTCCCCCATCTCTGACTTGGTCCAGGCAGGTTACACATTCACGTTATGCCATTTCTGAGTTGAGGCCTTGGACATCTGCTTATCCGGTCCTTCAGGATGTCTATCTCATGGTGTTGTCTCTGTCTCAGCTCACCATATGTTGCTTGCCCCGTCTTCAAAAATCTTCTGTTTTGATGTGGCTTCATATTTTGGTCCCCTGCCTCATAGATGGGGTAATTCACTACAACAATGTCATAAATATCAGACCCTTACTAGCAAACTCGAACCCTAAATTGGGGGGGGGGGGAAATACAGTCAGTCATGTTGTAAATTAAACAATTGTAGAGTAAAATCCATGCAATGTACTCCATAAATTCTATAGTATAAAAAATCATTGGAACTGAGAGCATTCCAGCTGGGATGGTATGCTGAGTTACTCTCTGGCAAGTGAACAAGGATTGGCTGACAATTTTCCCCATGCTCAACTGTTGGCTAAAAAGGACAAGCTGTGAATAGTTGTTGACCCTTATCATATAAATGTAGCTATGCATGTAATGTTCTAATGTCCAAATAGGTCTGCTCAAATAAATTTAAACAGTCTAAACAGCTTGGATCAGACTTGGATACATTTTGAATTGAATTTAGAAGCATTGGGAGGCAGAACATCTAGTTGTTTGCTCAAAAAAGGGATGAGTCTCTTTTAGTCCCTATTTTTGTACAACTGCAATCTCCCTCATCATCATCACCATGAATCATAGTTTTCTATTCCTCTTCTTAAACCATCACATTAGAGAATTTTAATCCTGAACTCATATCTGAGCATTGATCTTGTTTGCTTTCTCCTAGAGGCAGTTTCAAGCTGTAACTAATCAAATAGGAGCAATGAAATTAATCAGGATACATTAATATGTTTTGAACGAAACAATTTATTTCTCAATTAAATATCGTCAACAGTATTGGTCTTATACTCACTATCATTGTTGATTCACTTGCTCTTATAAGAGATAATCGTTTCTACCCCATTCATCCTTGCATTATAGCTGTCATGATGTTTGTATAGTTTCTCCACAGTTAGAATAAAATAAGCATACACCAATATGTATACAATTATATGAAGCACAACATATAACAACTCTGCTTCACTACTACTACTACTAATGTAAAATAAAACAACATAAAATGTTTAGTCATGATTTTGTGAAATTAAAGAGGAAGAGATTGTGAAATTAAAGAGAAAGAAATATATGCAACATTTAATTATAGTTGAATGGTAATGAAGTATTGATGAGGTAATACAATAAATAATTACTAATAATCCATGGTAGGTATGGAACATAATCATGGTCATAATGATACATAACATGCCACTATCTAAAATTAAGCACAATTCCTTTCTTATCAGGAGCTGGCTCAAATGTCCTTTTCTCCAAACAGAGGCTGTGAGACATGACTAAACAAGAATGAATCTTACTACATATCACAACATCGCTATCAAATTTGAGAAAAATCGTATCATATGAGTGTAATGTTTATTAAAGTATTTAAGTGCATGAACTTCAATGTATGGAGTTCCAAGTATCCAATATCTACTTTAAGCTTTAGGACGCAACTGTATACCAGTAAAAGTGCAGATATCTGGTGGTCCCCATAATGACATGGGTGGAACAGGACAAAATCTTATTCCCCCTCCATATATAGCTATAACAATGTGAAGAGATCTTTCAAAACAGCCCAGATAGAGAAAATACTGTGGAGAAAGACAATATCTCATCTAGAATTTGAAATGCTCATTAATTTTATGGCAGCATAAATGCATCTACATCAGTCTTTAAATATTTAAAGAAATATGAGTAGGTTCATAATAACATTAACTTTCATCAAGAAGGGACAAAGTTGGGACTGGAAGTGTACAAAGTACAACAGCAACCCCCCCCCCCCCACCAATCACTCCTGATATCAACCTATAATCAATTATAGAAGACTGGGGAGGGAGATGCTTAGCTTAATAATAATATATAAGAGTAAAAGTTCATATTGATGAAACTCACATACAAAACAATAATATATAGATTCTTATTTGGAATTCTGTGCTTTATACATAGTGCTTATATGAAAGGGTGGGAAAATGAGTTGGGAAAACTGAGTTGGAAAAATGCAAGTGGTGTGAAATTAATGCTTCTTGAATGTAATTTTAGAAATTTTACTAGTAATTCCACACTATAAAAGGGAGAGTGATGTCACAGAAGAGGAATGTCTACCCACATCTTGCCTAATCTCTGGGTGGCAACAGGCTATGCCCAACATTATGTCAAAAGACAAGAAACAATTTCCTTACTCTTCCCCCCCCCCCGCTGGATATTTTTGTAATATCAGAAATGTTTTAACTTTAATGGGATTATGATTATGATTATGATTATTTGCTTTCAGGAAGAAGAAATTGCTTTTATAGGTACTTTGATACCAAAGAACTGCTACTCATCTGTCATTATTGTTTGTTATCACTGCTTCAAATGATGTAATATTTTGATTTTGTTTTCCAATGATCTAGTCTGTGGCTATTAGCATGAAAACTGATTTTCCTGTCTTCTGGATAGGTAATTTATCATCAGGGTATCCCGAATGCTGCCATGAAAGAAAAAAGACAGCAGAGACAACAGTTGCAAGAGATAGAGTTAAAGCAGAGACAACATATCTTTTGTGGCTGAAATAAGCTGAAATGAGGGCTACCAATGGGTTAGCAAAGCTGAAGGACTCTTGTGAGATTTGTGAAGAAACATTTTATTCCAGTGTGTTCAATTTGCCTTTCTGTAAATAACATTGCAATGATACCATATGACTACAGTGCTTACAGTTTGATTTCCAAAGGGAAACGGGAAAACACCCTAAACTCTCTTGTTCCACTTTCCAGACTTCTCCCTGACAACAGAAGAAATTATCAGTGCA